AAGTCTTAGATGTTTAGAGATATGTTTCGTGGTTTGGGTCGTAAAACCCTCGAAGCAGGAAACCCACAGAAGTTGTTCGGGTCTCTTCTAGTGCGGTCAAGGCATGGAGAACATGGATCCGTTCAAACCGAGTGCGGTCACCGAGTTGGACCACAAAAGTGATCGAATCCGACCGATGATCTTCGGAACTCACCACGTCGCCTGTGGATCTTCGGAACTCACAGGACTCATTCCCTCCTAACATGTCAGACAAGGCAGAAGTGTTGATCCTATATGATTCCTAAGATCCAAAGGTTGCTCTCTTCTAACGCTTCAACAACTGTATATATAGCTACAAAGGCTCGCCAACAGACGCTCCCCTACTTCTCCACCACAGCTGCGGGAGCCCCCTTCACTTCTCCAAACCGCTTCCACCCAGTCCCCGAAAACCGTCGTGTTTCCAGCCCTGGGCCACCAGACTTCTTCGGCTTCTTGAGTTTGGGCGGCTTCTTTTTCTTCTTCACCTCCCGGGACGGGTTGGATGGGCTTGAGGTCCATTGAGGTCACCGGGCGGACATCGGCCCATCGAAAAAGCCCATGTGAGCCCCGAACGTGGCGAAGGACACGTCAAACTAGTAGGGGGGTTCTCCACCAAACTGCTCGGGACACGTCAACGTCTGATGGGGGACATGGCTCGATCAATCATCCTGTGCATACCAAGCGATGGGGCGTTCAGGGTCGTGTGTAAACGTTCAAGAGTCAGAACTTCAGGTTTCGACCGGCATTCCAAAGAGAATGAATCCAGGCGAAGCCAACTGGAACGGTTCTTACAGTGGGTTCAACATCTTCAAAGAAGTCCACCCCCTTTCAGATTTGCTTTTTGACCGATTCCACACCTCGTCATAGAGCAGTTTCAGGTTTGCGAGCTCCTGCGGTCACCCACCCGCTCGCGGTCCGCTCATAGTGACCGAGCAGTGACCGAGAGTTCTGCTACCGGTCCCGTGGTTCGCAGCTTGAGCTTTCACATCTGGAAAATCATCTGGAAAGGAAAGGAAAAAAGCGTTTTGTATGACAAATCATGAGAATGTTCTGCCATCAAATTGAAAAAACATCTGAAAAAGTTCAAGTGGAAGGGAACGTCTTTCAAGCTCAAGTTAGGTTCAACCTCATGATGAACGCCTCTGGTTGAATAGAAGGTCCAATGGATATCCTCGAAGAGGTTTCAATTGCACATGGAGTTGAGTTCCTACCGTGAGAGCCATCGCCACCATTCGGAAAAATGACTGACAGGGTCAGGGCTGGGGGGGGAGTCACCGGTGAATGATCCTGATGTTTCTTGGACACGAGGCAACACCAATTGGACCAAAGACCGGTCAAGGACGAGGCCAGGAAGACCACCATGGATTTCCAGGGATCGAGCTATCCATGAAATCCGGGTGGCCAGTGAAATTTGTCAAGAACCAGGTCCACGGCAGGGACTTCAGAATGTGCCATCTTGAAATTTGCCAGACTTCCCCATGGAGACTTCGCGTGCCAAGTTCTCCCACACCCACTAGGGCTCACCCACCTCCATCTAGGCCATTCCCAACCCACCCATCACTTTTGAAAAAGGATACATCCAATCTGGACTCGCAAATTGAGACGGGTTTTGAGTCGATTTTGCTTCGGATCCAAACCTCGGCTTTGAACGTCTTCGGGTGAGAGAAGCGTGGCAGCATGGGCAGGTCCGTCCAAGCCCAGAAGAGGCCTAATTGATCCTAATTGTAGCCATAAGTAACCAAAAGGCCCAGAGAAGCCAAGGAAATCCAAATTGGAAAAGGTTCCCAAAGTCCAAGTCCAAAGGCTCAAACTCAAGTTCCGGAAGCTCCAAAATGCGCAACTGCCAAATGCATTGGGCCAAAGGCTCGAAAGTTCTAGTATCTTATAGTTACGAACAAAACGAAAGAAGGAAGCGAGTAAACGGTGATCAACATATACATTTATAACATATTCTAATAGTCTAACATATCACAGGTATGTGCAATCCGCGTCCAGCTTCCCACCGCTCCCCTGCTGAACTTTCAGAATCCTAAACATGCAGCGCATAAACCAAGCGAACACTCTGCAAAGACCCATCACTCCAGATGATACACCCCATGCTGGACATTGCTGGACTTGGCCACACTCGACTCCTATCCAGGGCCCCAGAGCTCCTCCCTCATCTGGTCATCCACCAGGGCTCTCAGCTCCGCCTGGTCCACCGGTTCATCGCTATCGCTCACGCGGTCTGCACATGTCTGCACTCCGTGATCCGGTCCAGTTGAGTTGGAAGTGAGGATGAAAACCAGAGATCTGGCTGAGTGAACATGAATGTGACTGACTCTGACTGACCCCCCAGAAACACGCCATTTTTTGGCGTCACAGTCTCCTCTCACCAGCTTGTGTGCAACACTGGAACATGTTGTGTCCGAGACTGGAGGATCCCAAAGTTGAATTTCATCGGGGGCTAACCCAATGGAACCCGCCCCGCATCCACTTTTTGCCGCCCTCCTCCCAACCTCGCCGCCAGTTTCGTCGCCCGTGCGTTGTCCATCCGGCCTCCACAATGGGATAGACCGACTTCCTCGCCAACTCGAGGTCGTGTCGCTGATCAAAGTTGTTGCTCTCGTCTTTGTTCTGCCCAAGACACCGATGAAACGCCCCCGGCATGGCGCGAAGCATCGAACGCAGAACGCGCGAGCGGACGCGAGCGGGTGGTAGCGAGGGGTAGCGTAGAAGCAGTCCTCTAAGAAGCGATGTCAGGCCTGTTTCGTGTGGACCCCCCAAATAGATAGAATGAATCAAGTAGGTATCCCCACGACTAACGCCGCGCCAGTATCTATTTGGGGACCACTAGATTGTTTGTTTTCCTTCTTAGGTAGCCTGCTCTTTGACATTCAGCAACATGTGACAGGAACCTAGGAACCCAGGAACCTACCCTTTGAGAGAGATGATCACTTAGAAGGTGCGGCCTGCGTTCTGTCCACAGTGGATGAACAAGTCAACAAACAAGGGGTGACTCATAATTACCTGAGGATTCCAAGCACATCTGCGATTCCTGAGGAACCCTAGCACATCAACCACGAACTCGCTCTCCAATCCTCACCTCCCATTGCTCGGTGTACTGCTTGATCTGCTCCACGAATTGCTGCACCACTGCCGAGTAGCCCACACCCACCTTGGAACGTTTGCGCCCCACCCGGGCGCCTTCGTCCGTCAACCGTGCCGCGCCCGACCCGGTGGTGCCGAAGTACACCGATGGAGCCCCTGGCCATTGGTCCATGATTTTTCTGCTTTACGAACCTCGTTGGGTGAAAACACCTGCCACCCTGCTGGCTCACCTCTTCATTCTAGAGAGAATACTTTGGTTTTTACCGGCAATCTGCCCTAGTGAAGTGGATTGCTTGCGACAAACTACTGGGCGCACGACCCCCGGTAGGCCGTGGCGTTTCGTGAGGATCGTCTAATTGAACATGCGCACGGCGCTGTAGCGCCACTATCATTTTCAAAGATGCAACTGCAGATTCCACGTTCTGGGAACTCGCAAAACTACTTCTTTTTGCACTCACCGGCTCTGCTTAGCGACTTTGCACAGCTCGTTCATTATGTTGGCCCCACCGACCTCATGATGTTGGCCGACGATGTAGACCGACGTCATTACACCCCCTCACCCCCCACCCCCACCCCAACAATTTGCAGCTCTGACCGTCAGCAACTGTCCATGTCGTACGTGTTGTTGTTGCAAGTAAGCACATTTACAGACATCAGAGAACTTCTAATCCATACCCAACGTGGCATCAACTTGGCAGATGGCAAAAACGTTGAAACTCTCCACCCAAGGGTACAACTTAGAGTGCAACATAGCAAACATTTGGTGACTTTAATTCACATGCGAGGAGCTAGCATCATGTTATGTGTGGTCTGAGATATGTTTCAGATACGATGAGCTAGCATCATGTTATGTGCAATCCGAGATATGTTTTACTATTGTGCAATGCATGCAGTCTGAGATATGTTTTAGTGTTGTGCAATGCATGCAGTCTGAGATATGTTTTATTGTTGTGCAATGCAACGAAGACCTGGAGCTGGGATGCAAAAAAGCGTCGAAAAAGTCAAAATCGCAAGAAAAACACACGGCCTACCGGGGGTCATGGTCCAACTACTGAGGTCTGCCCTGTCAGATCTTATCGCTTTTCAGGTCGCTCTCATTGCCGATCCAAACAGCGGAGCCGCAGCTTTTTGCCATTCGGCATCGGTTCGGCGGTTTGGTCTGTGCCGCACGGTTTTGCTTGGCAGAGACATTCTAAGATTCATCTGTGCACCATGCCTGGAAGCACGACGAAGGCATAAAGTTATCCCTTTGCAGGAAGAGCACTTGCTCCAGGGTCGTTCCAGCTGAAATAGACCTGTGCACATCGCAACAACTCCTGGCACCTGCTATTGCGGTGCAAACGGCACATTCGTGAGACAAGAGCTAAGTTAGTGCCTCCGAGGTTCAGTGCAGAAACTGCAGTCCCACCACCTACCCTGTTTTCACTTCTCGTGGTGAGGTTTGCTTTACTTTTTGTAGATGAGGACTCTGAGGACCCCAGAATATCCTGCTATATATGGTCGAAATGAATTGATGTTCAATTGTGATTGTTAGTTGGATTAGACAGGCAATAATCAAAACATCCAAGGTTTCCGTTCGGGCATGTGCATTTGGATGTTTTTTTGTTGCGAAACTCCACTGAACCTCAATGGCTGTGATCTACAGCACGGTGGGTCAATGTGATGTGAGTTGGAGCCCAATCCTATGAATCCCGTATTGATTTATATGGAAAACGCAGCTTCTGAGCAAGCTGAAAATGGAACTGGTGGAGTGGCGGCTCCCTGCATGTCTTCAGCTCAAGTTGGCTTTTCAGTGGCAAATTGCACCTCTGTTGATCAAAGGCATCTCCACCCTTCTCTGCTACCTCCACAACCTCTACACTAGTTTAACAAAAATACCTCAAAGCCTATTTGACCCGGGGGTCGCGGGGAAATGCCCCCATCCCCGGCCCGGAAGCTGTTGTGGGGCAAAACGGAGGCATGGCGGAACTGCTCCAACTCAATTGCTGTGATTGCTTCCGCTGCGCTGCGAGGACGCATCGGGCGCACCTGGGAGATGGACCGATGACCCGACACTCCCGGTGACTCTCCCGTTGGAGCCATGGGCCGTTTGGCATGGCACCAAAAGGAAGAGCCATGGCACCGAATACAAAGAGGGAGTGATCCACTTCCGTGTGAGCCGTGTTCTTTTTGCATGGTCTGGGGGACAGCCACTAGGTACCCATACCTCCGCGAAGCTCATGTGAGTTCCAGGGAGTGTAGTGGTCAGCTTGAGGGTTATTGGTCGAACAACAACCCTGTGGGCCAATAAGTGCCCCAAGTTCGGACTAGCCCTTGTGGTTTTTCCCAATGCGCCCATTGAAATCCCATTCAATTTAACACTATTACTATATATTAATATTGGTTGTATAATGAATAGTGAAGAGGGTGCCTCGTGCTTTATTTAAAGAAACCCCCTTGCGGCTTGCAGAAATGTCCAGCTATCTCTTGACCCTCCTCATGTCACGAGATGTTTTTCATGACAAGAGCGCATACCCCACTGGTGGGGCAACTTAATCACGGGGCAACTGGTTCAGTTAAGAGCCATCCAAAACCGCAAGCACTTACTTACTTATGCACCATCCACTCCGACTCGGCTGCTTCACGACATGTCAGGAGAATCCTCCGGGCCCATGTAGTAGCGATGGCCGCCAACCTAGTAGCGATGGCCTCCACCCTAAGAGCAATGGCCTCCAACCTAGACCTAGTCCTCTTCCAGCCCATCTACTCAATCTACTCCTCCCCTTGGTTTGAAGAGTACCCCCACGGAGGTTCGCTCGCGTGGGTGCCGGCTTCTCTGGAGGTCGCGCAACCTGGCGTGGTGATGTCCAGACAAATCATCTGGAGGGAGTTGAGGTAAAACCAAGATAAACAAATCATTCACTGTGTTGGGACATCTTTCAACCGCAAAAGCCTCCAATTCATGTTCACCAACTTTGAACACCAAAAGAGTGGGATTCATGATGACTCATGTGTTCATCTCAATCCCAAAACCTTCTCCAGTACTTGTTCATCACTCGAGGAGGATGATCTGCCATTCATGCTCCGTGAGAGCCGCCCTGGGTCCGTGCTTCACTGACCGTTCCGATCTGAAAAAAGAGACATGACTCACACATGACTCACTCGCATTGACCCGTGCGGAGCAATGCTTCGCATGACCCGTCGGATCCCTCTCATGACCCGTCGGAGCCCGGCCAAAACCTCCCAGCCATCGTCCGCTCCTTTTTTCCACCGCTGACGTGTCCTGGGCGAACCGAAAGACATCGTGTTTTCTCCACTCGCCGTGGGCCCGGCCCTTCTCGTCCGTCGCTCCAATCGGGGACCCTTCTCCGTGTCCGGCGGAGGTGCTTGGCGTCGAGGACTGAGAGAAGGCCATACACTCTAGTCGTTGGACTGCAAGGAGAGGACTGCTGGCTCCTCACAATGGTGGTTCGCCGCTGAAAAGTTCTTATTTCGGAAAGCCTGCAAAGAGTCGGAAAATGAAGGCGTCCAAAGATACAACGGACACCAGTCGTTGCTCAAGGATCTAAACTCGCAGTGTAAAAGAAGTGATGCGATTTGTTTTCCAATATGCACCATTTGACGAAATGTTGTTGATTGAGTGATGCATCCGTAGAGAATTAAATGCGAAGAATCAGTATATTATATATACAGTATATATATATATACTGATACGGGTATCGATCCCAATCCTTCTGCCGCGGCCGCATCTGCATGTCTTCGCCCGAGACATTCAGCAAGAATGCCAAGAGAAGGGCCAAAAGGACTGGCAGTAAAAAGAGCCAGGAGGGCAAAGAGGAGGCCGGGCCTGGCGGTTTGAACTGGAAAAAAAGGGCATCACTGGTTCTACCGTGAAGTGAAGCCGACAGCAAAGACGAGCCGCCTGCTTCCTCATCTGCGAGGTCTAAGCCACTCCTGAGATCTCGAACGAAATCCGCTGGAGAACTGAACTCGAGATTTCAACCTGTCGGCAAGTCATTCCCTTCTTCTCCCCCAAAACTCCAAACTTTGTATTCAAAAAGTGTCAAAAAATAAAGCCCCGTATTAGGGTCGTTGGGGGATCCCCAAAAGGCAGAGAGTCCACAGAAATCAAGAAAAGAGCTTCGATGCTTTGGATTGAGAACCCAATCAATCATCGTCATCGTCGTCGTCGTCGTCATCATCAACAACAACAACAGCAGCAGCAACCAACAAAACTACGACAAAAAACATCAAAAACCATTTCATAGGGTCTCACAACAACATCTTACACGATGTCTTGCTCCACACACGGAGGTTTAGGAAAACACGTGGTTTACACGTTGGATGGTCGGTGGTCGTGTTGTCCAGAGCTTTCAGATCTTTCCGGTCTGGGATCTCCCTTCTCTGATCAAGCGACAGCTCTGCGAAGCAGCTGGCCTGCTGCTCAATCGCTTCCAGAAGCAGCTCTCTGGTACCTCTTTGAGGGAACAGTCCAATGGCATTTGGAGCAAAACCATATACGGACAGTGCATCTCAAGTTTCTTTGTTGATGCGTTCGTTTTCGCAAAATTACTGCAGAAGCCTCGGCACGGAGCAAAACGGAGGGTGGCCATGGCGGATTCGGTCCGACGGCGAGTCCCTGCCCCACCTTCATCGCTCAGCAGCGCATAGGCCTTGCGCACCCGCTGGAAGCGCTCCTGGCCCGTGGAACAGATGAAAGGTCTCCAGCAAGACTCAACGGTCCACTCAACTACCCAAGAACACCGAACGTTCTATCCACTCATTTTGGATAGTGGATAGTACGCCAGATGGGGGGGTCTACAAGCATAACTCAACAATTGGATGCAATTGGTGATCTTTGGGTTGTATAGGAGGATGCATTAAGTGCATGTTCCAGAAATTCCTAGTTTGCTGCATGAAGTGTCTGACAGAGCGACTGTTAAACGAGTAGATTGGGCGCTTGGCATGTTCCAGGTGTCGATTGGGCTCTATTAAGCCTTCTTTTTGCAGCAAGCTAAGCCTTGAGTGCTGAACACACGTGTGTTCCACGGCACGTTAATCACAAAGATTGTCAATCAAAACGGTACTGTACTTTTTTGGCAGTCACGACTCATTACTGAAAATCGACTGCCTCACGCAGGTCAACCCAGAACTTTTTCCCATCATCCAGTTTCACACACAAAACACTACGAAATCGAAATCCCGTCAACATCTCTTGCATGCTATATATATAATATATATATAATATATATATAATATATAATATATTATATGTATATATTTTATATATATATATGCAATGAATGAACATTGCGACTGTCAGCAGTGTGACGCCTCCAGTCGACATTGGATCAAAGAAGAGCGAAGGTCTGCTATCACGGTCGCTAGTCCACCGTAGAGCTTAGAACCACAGCTCTTAGTCCAAAGGACCTGAGCATCGGTGAGCTGTGTCAACCGCTTACATGGTAGCGGAGCCCAATAGTGGCATCCGAGTAGGTTAGATTTTGTAGCAGCAGGTGCTTGAGCCCCTGTTTTCGCAATGGCAGCGATTGAACGCAGCAAAGAAGGTGTGCCCCAATGGGACGGCTCCGCGAGCACGTTCCAAGAGTACAGCGAACTGGCTGAGCATTGGGAACAGACCATCCCCTACCACAAGCGCTATCTTTGCGGTCCCAGGCTCCTGAATGAACTCTCAGGCACCGCAAGACGCTTCATCCTGTCCAAGCGCCCAGGATGGCTTCCCATGACGGTGGAGTACAAACCTTGCTGCGCCACCTTCGCCAGCATCTCGGCCTGCCTCAACTGTCCGAGATGAGCGATTACATGAATCGCTACTTCAAGCAGAGCCGAAGGAAGCGCAGTGAATCGATGAACGAGTACATCACCCGCAAGGCAGAGCTCTACTCCAGAACCGAGCAGACCTTGCAGCGAGCTCAGACCCACTACGCTCCCAAGAGGACATCCTCCCACTTGGCATCCACCCCGGAGTCGGGATCAGCCTCTCATGAACCAGAGCCTCACGATGAAATGCAGTATCATGATGCCCATGAAGAACAACCATCTGCCCCCTCGTCATCGGGGCAGGAAGCAGCCGGAGATCCAGGGACTAGAACTCCATCGCATCATGACCGTCAGGAATGGCAGTGGCGCACGTGGGGAGACTGGGATGCACGAGGGTGGGATTGGTCCGACCATGGGTGGAGTGACCACTCATGGAAGCATTCGACACGACCTGAGCACACCTCGACCGAAGCCGTGTCCCGGGTGCAGTTGCTACCGGATTTCGTTCAAGGCTGGTTCCTTCTCCAAGATTCAGGCCTGGACACCAACGAGAAGAACATGGTCCTGGCAGCTCTGAAAAGTGATGTAAGTTTCTCAAGTGTTGCTCAAGAATTGAGCGACCAGTGGAATGATGACGACCTCCGGAAGAGAGATCAAGGAGGTCGAGCCTCAGCATGGTCAATCGATGAAGCCACCGAGGACCCTTTCCAGGAGGACATGGCCAGCCAGAGCTACTTGGCCTACACTGGACTCAATGCTGATGGGATGGCATTGGTGAGTGAAGCCGAGTCGGAGGCCCAAGAGGCCATGGCTATGATGGAAAAAGGAAGACGCACCCTTCGAGAAGCCCGAGCTCGACAACAATATGTGAAGTTGAGCCGACAGTACTATGGTCCTCCTGGCCGAAACCCCTTGAAGAGCACTACACCCGTCAAGAAGGAGAATCCCCACAGCAATTCCCTTCGATGCCTTAGCTGCGGAGGCGGTCACAAGACTGAGGACTGCCCAAAGAAACACAAGAGCTTCGCATCTGAGCGCAAGGCGGATGAACCTCAGGCTCCTTTCATTTGCCTGCCCGATCAGGTCTTTGCGGCCGTGGGCGTGGGAGAAAAGATCACTACCCGACAGGCTATGGAACAAGGAAAAGCTGTGGTGGACGGTGGAGCCACTCGTACGTTGGGCTCCGTGACCGCCTTGGAGACCCTGATGCGCCTGAACCAGCAAAAGAATGGCACTCCTGGCCTCGAAAAGCTGGATACTGAACAGCGTCCAACGTTTGGATTTGGGAATTCCTCCCGAGACCAGTGTTTGTCAACGGCATGGATGGCGATCCAGGCCGGCGGGCGGCAGGGACAGTTGAAGGTCCATACCTTAGACAAAGGTACCGGACCCATTTTATTTTCCGTAGAAACATTGCGCGCTTTCATTCAGCTGGAACAATCAAGTTCCGGCCACCAGGATTGGTACCATGCCTCCACTGCAGTGAGGAGCCCGGTACCCAGTTTGAAAGATTTCATCTAGGGACAACTCCTCTCTCATCTGCCGTCTGCCAGAGAAAGAGAGGTCGCTGCAACTGCAGACTTGGGTGAGCAGTCTATGTTAGATTCACGTCAGTGTAAGAAACATGTCAGTTTTGCTTTGTCTTGTGAAACGTCGTTGAACGGAAAGGGACATACATACAACACACACATGTCACCACGGCAATCACCTCTTGAACCACCACCTCATGATCTTGAGCCACATGAACACGCAAAGCCAGCAGCAGCCGCACCAGCTCGAGAGGCACATTTCCGCGAGGTCCACAACACTTCCGAACCCAGCGTCAGTGCCGATGTCGAGCATGAAGAAGCCCGAGCTTGTTCAAGCCCTGAAGGACTTGGGCGAGACACCACCCAAGGAGTGGACCGTGCTCGAACTCCATGGCCGTCTTTCAGAGTTGCGCCAGGAGAAGGGACTGCCAGAACTGGAGACCAAGAAGTCCCGCACTCCACTCCGCCAGATGATGGTCGACCTGAACAAGGCTCAACGCCTGAAGGCCGATCTGGTCAAGTATGTCTCCGGCACGCTTCGA